AGCCATTGTAAAGTGGTCACGAACTTTCGGTTCCACCGTCCCAGAGGCCAGAGGGTTCACATGCCGTGCAAGCCAAGTCCGAAGGTTAAAAACTTAAAAGTAGACTTGAATTTTTGCTTAGCATTTCAATTTAAAGATAACTAATTGAACTTACTTTTAGTTTTAAAGCTGTTCAAACCTTGAAGTGCAGGCGAAGCGTGAAAGCGTGACCGTTAAGCGACAGACCTGGTTCTTCTCTCATCTCAGCTGCCGGGCGCTGCGGACTGCGGACTGCGGGCGCATGCTGCCGTACCCCAAATTTTTAATTGTCAATAATTATAGTCCGTCGTGCCAGAAAAAATATAGCATTGACTAGATATGAAGTTAATGACGTAAATAATTTTTTTTAAGTTTGGAACATTTTATATAGTTATTCAACCTAATAAGATATATTAAGGTTCATACATGAAGAAACGATGCTTTATGTATAGACTCGTGCGTCTCGGAATAATTTTTGTGCGTCTCGGAATAATCAAAATAATAATTAATCGTGCATCTCGGAATAATTTTCTCGAAATGATGATTTTCTTGGAAGCATGATCATGCTGAGTATATAGCATAATCATGCTGAGAATGTAGCATGATCATGCTGAGTATATATAATACAACATAATATAATATAATATAGCGGTATCAGCGTTTAGAAGTACAGGAGCAGGTACTGAGTAGACTAATATGAAATATTGTGGAAACAAGAGCAGACACTATTATGTAGAACCGCTAATAAACGTGTACCCGTAACAATATAATAATATGTACGATTAAAATCAACAAATTTCAAATATTGATAATCATCAAATTATTTGATAGATTATTAGCGGTACATTTAAACACTTGCACAATCAACAAACGAAAAGCCTGACTTGTATATGATCAACGCTTCACTTTACTCAGTAGAACTCATCATATGCATATTTTTGTTGTTCGTATATCGGGATGGAAGCTGAACATATAGGGGCGTGATATTATCGTACAATCGAGCATGACGCAGAGCAAAATAGCGCCATTCGTAGTGCAAGAGGTTGCGCAGCAGCGCGCATGATGCATGCTCGAGATGGACGTGCAGCGGTGGCGAAATGCGCATGTTGTATGTGTAGGTCGACGCTAGCTGGATCTAGCAAGGCCCGTATACATCATAAACAGAATGACTGGACTTGCCAGCTATTCAATTAATTTTGAAGTATTTTCACGTTCTTTATATGATTAAAAAGTATTTAGTACGTAATTTGATTAAAATGAGTCATTTCTACATGGAATATGTGTCCGATATATTAAAATTTACACCAAATTTAATAGATTATATTCGCTATAACGTTATATATTAAAAGGCAAAACATCCCGTAAATTACGTACGTTCAAAGAACCCCTTGTTGGAAACAGATAAATAACTAACATGATTTTAGCTCACGTATTAATCTAAGGACATCATGACTGATATTTTATTGTTTTAGATAGTAAAAAACTCATCAATGCTATATAGAGGTAAGCCAAAACCTTGCATATATCGGGAAAAGATACAAAATAAATTGTATCCTTTCCTTGAAAAGATACCATGCATACACAAGGGACGGATACAATTGACTACAATTTCGACACACTTTCAGGAGGAATGTTTCCCTGAAAAAATATGGTAATGTTTTGACTGTTTAATGCTGTTAAATACTAATACTTATTTGTTAATCAAGCAATCATTTGACCTTATTAAGAATAACATAGCAATATTGACGTTGACAAATATGCTTATTTATCCTGTCATATAATGATAGATAAATGGTAAAGAATGAATAGATAAAGATAATAAAAAATATAACTCAGTACTCACTGCAGTGAGTGACAGAGCGCGCATTTTCTCGTCAACGAAAACATGAAGTCACGGACGGACAGACAGACAGACGGACGGTCGGACATGGCGAGCACAGTAGGGCTTTTTTCCCATAAATGAGAAATACGCTAAAAATATAAAGAATGGTATATACGAATATTGTGTGTATTTTCTTATATGATTAGGAAGCGTGACCAACAGCTGAAAATATATTTTTAGTATATATCCAACAGCTGAAAATATATTTTCTAAGTACAGTATACAGTATATTATAATTACTCGTAATAGATGCTTGGAGGCTGGTGGAATTCTCGTGAATATTTCACTTCCGTTTCCATGTGGAGACTCGATTCATAAACAGCAGAAGAAAGCAATTACGTATATCTACCACGGTTGAAAGCTGTTATCGTATCATCATATTATATTTTATATTTTTAGTGATGTCGGCGCTGAAGAATATACCTGCATGAATGATGTGGCCTGTCGCCGATTCTTGAACTTTTCGTGACTTGTTCACAGAAGATCTAAAAACAGGCCCTTTGACCGGATCTTTTCCAAACTGACAATAGTTTGAAATATCTACTAAACTTCGACCGGATTCTTTATGTATATCGTAATAAAAATGTTCAAAACAATGAAATTTTAGCATAAAGATAAAAAATATACAATGGAACATACAGGTTATGATCCAATATTATTAATAACAAACATGAAAATATTTTAGCTCAATTTAATACATATTTCCATGGATAGCTAGTGAGCGAAGGTCATCAAGCCTCTAGAAAGATTTCAGTCGTTAAAACTGAACTTCAAAGCCTTTGATTTCATCGCCTTTATATCCAATTTTTGAATTAAGCGTGGCGTGAAGATATTTGTCTTTAATATCACCATCTCATGCTTTCTAGACACTCCACATCATTCTGAAACAATCCCCTGACATCTATTGTTTTATCTCCTGACACATCTATTGTTATATCTCCATACACAATTGGACATACAAATTCTTCAGCAAGAATGCTAGTTAAGAACCTCGTTGACGAGAGGTTCTTTGGTTCTTTTAATTCGTCAACGCTCAGACGTTTTCGTTGTACCGCTTTCAGTTCTGAAGGCCGCGCCAACGTAGTTCTTTTATTTCTTTATTTTATGTATTTTTTTGAACTCAAAGTGCTTTGTTTGTCCGCTTTTAGCTGCTGTACAATACGCACGCCCCACCGAACAATTGATTGGTCGTAAATGCGATGATGAAAATTGAAAAATTAACGACGGTATGTCAGAGTTTGGTCATGACCTGAACCAGGTACTGACTGAGGTAATGGCTATAGGTGAATTACAAAACGAATTGCTTACAAAAATAATTGAATATAATAAAATGGCAATACATGGTCATAATGCTAAGGTTGCATTTACTTTTCATGATTTAGTTTTAATTTCATTTTTCATGGTTTAAAAATTATTTTATAATGTTTAGTGAAGTCAAAGTTATGGATGTAAGCCATTGTGGTGTCGTGTCAGTCCCATGGAAGGAATTTGTTTGATAAACGTATTGAACTAATCATTTTTGAAGTTGATCAATACGCGCACTGCAAGCAATTTAAATAATATTAAATCGATCTATACGCTCAGCAGCTGCGTCGGTATAGGTAATAATTCTCATTAAGAGTTTGGATGATTCTTTATCACTTTCAATTTTAATGAGAGATATCATTGCGAAATTGCCCGCTGGACATCATCATAAAATCACAGTCGTACTTTCATTGTGAAATTGCTGTCAAGATCTTCTGAAATTGCATACGTAAAATCATTACGAAACGTAATGAGTAATTTCATGGTGAAATAGCATGCGTAGTTTAATTGCGAAATTGCATGCGTAAGTTCATTGTGAAATTGCATGAGTAGAATATGCATCTTAATATATCAGGCGCGCTATCATTCAGAAATTGCATGCGTAATATCACTGTAAAAAATGTGGGCTTGAAGCTTTAAGAAATACAATATTGAAAAAGCTGTATAGCACGTGATGGATATCTTGCCTGGATAAGATAGTCGATGTTTGAGTGGATGTGATGCAGGTAATCTGTATAAGCAAGCCTATCTTATTTGGGGATAATCTATGACTATAATAACAGTTTTCTGATATTGCATCATTGAAATATTATTTGATTGTGATGATTAATGCCTGGTTTTGATATTTAATTATCTTGTTATTCTTCAACTTTATATTGACAAATGATACAATAGTCACTTTATAGCAACGCTCTTCTACACTCATATAAATTATTGGTCATATTGTCCAAATAGTGACCCCACTGATCAATTTTGCCGAACCAAAATTTATCATCATGACCCACACAATTAAGGGTAAAAAGTGTATCCTTATTCTGACAATTTTTTTTTCTGTTTTTATTTTTTTTTTGTTTTCTGACAAATGCCGACTCATTTCTCTGAGTGATTTTTCGAATAGTTCTACTAATACATTATCATTTCGTTGCAGTTCTACACGTTATTTATGAATATTTTTAAACTTAGTGCATATAAATTTTGACATCATCACATCCCCTTATTCTATTGCTTCATGTGTTTTAATAGGTAAAATGTTTCATTCTTTCAGACTGCAAAATTTTGATTCGGCTTCATTAGGTTTGGTAAATTTGTTCTTATAGTTATATCTTTGCATCGTTTCATTTTCTATACTATTAACTTGTTTTGTTGCTATGTAAAATATAGATAATAATTTGTTAAGAAAATTCAGAACAATAATTCATGTAAAATATTCATCACATTGAACCCCATTATAAATGTTTGAGAAACGTCACTAATGACACTTAACTTGATGAGTAATAGCACTGAGTACCATTATAACCTAATGAGTAATCCACTGAGTGAGTACCATTATAACCTAATGAGTAATCCACTGAGTGAGTACCATTATAACCTAATGAGTAATGGCACTGAGTGAGTCCCATTATAACCTAATGAGTAATGACGCTGAGTGAGTCCCATTATAACCTAATGAGTAATGGCACTGACTGAGTCCCATTATAACCTAATGAGTAATGACACTGAGTGAGTTCACTCGCCTATTCCATAGCGCCGGAACTTAACTAAGTTTTTAATGAGAAAGGAAATTTTCAAAGAACAGTTTCGGAGTTTGATTTATTCACAAAAAAATCATATACATAAAAAGCTTTGATCAAACTAGTTTAAATTTATCAAAATGAGCTTCATATTTTCGTAAAACTTTTCTGATCTTAAGTAAGTAATTAAATTGTTATTAGGCTATTATTTGCGTTTTAAAGTTTTTTAGCTAACTAACTTATTGGTACGGAGACGCTGCCAGAAACGTAATATAGAAACTACAACTTCGTAAGTCGTTCAACATTTTCTTTGTTTAAGTTAAATTTATTCTTATTGCAAAGAGCTTTGTCAGGAAACTTGTCATTCTGCTATCTGAAGCTATTTTGTTTATTATGACTCTACCCATGAAACAATTGAATATTTCATATACATGGAATGTTGTTAAATTTATAGGCGTACAAGTTTAATCATCAAGATTATTAATTCATTATCTGTATTCTTTCAGATGAATAGAATTTAATTTCAGAAGTCGCTTATCCTTTGTTGCATTACCAGTTTAAATTAATATTTCGTCTTGAATTAAGTTGTTCTATTCAGCAAAGTCTTAGTTGTAATTACGGAATTCGTTACTGAAATTAGATATCACAAGGACAACAACAACGTATCAAACATCCTTTCCACAACAAAATTGCAATACCGGTTTTAAAAAATGAAGAGGGAGTGGGAGATCATAAAATTAATAATAAATTTATGAAATCCGACGTTTCGAACTCTTCTTCGCCAATTAAAATTACAATTGGAATCAATTCAAGAGCCAATCAGCTGAGCTGCCTCTCCAGTAATCGCAATGCGGACGTGTTGTGGAATAATTCGATTAAGCAATAACGGAGAACGACATTTTCGATAAAATACAATCACAAAAACGTGCGAGCACACGGAACGACAGCGATCTGAAATTTTCCATGAACGACTATCAGATTTCAAAGTTCGCATTTACGATTCAGGTGATTTTCATTTGGTTTAATGGTATCCCTTCTTGATTACTGGGAATTTGGCGACACCCTCGTAGGTAACGACCGGGTGGTAACCGTACTCGTCGGCCGTGTAGGAGACTTTCTGGAGACGGCCGTCGGGGAGGTGGACGTAGTACGCCCCCGTGGTCTTGTAGCCGTCCCGCTGCTCCTTGTGGCCAAAGTTGGCGCCGTAGTACGGATCCTGCACGCCGTACTCGAAGCCGTAGTGCGCAGGAGCCTTATATAGTGCAGGTCGCCCTCGCGTACGGTTGCCTGATGGCCGGTGCTGTGACCACACCCTTCTTCTCCCAGCCGCTGGTCTCACTAACTGGGCGGAAGGCCATTGATGTGCTTTTAAAACTAAATTATGCTGGAATTTACATTAAGTGAATTTAAATAATACTTCCACGTAAACCATGTTAAACCCAATAGCATAATTATTTTCAGCTAATGGGGAAAAAACTGCCATTATTTAAGAGAACCTCATATGAAAATGATAACCATATATTAACTTTATATCTAGTCTACTAATACAATCACAAAATAGTAGAAATTAACAAGCAAACACGAACTTGAGCACTAACTCTCAGCAAGTCAGATGCAGTTTTAATCCAACCAAAGCACTTTCGGGAAGATAGTTGATTTATTTTGTTTACAATCAAGTTATTTTTTGCTAGAGGCTATGCGATGATTGATTGTTTCATAGATTCCTATTCTAAATTGTACTATTATAGACTAATTTCTGCGAATTGCCTTCACCACGGCAGCTCTGGCAAAAAAAAATTGTTCAAGTGCCACAACTATTGACCTTGTTAGGCCAAGGTCAAGATAAGATTGAGCTAAATTCACAAGCCTCAAACGTGAACGATTCAGTCTTAAAATTTAATCGGCATTTTTCTTTTGAGGCAAAAGCTTTTATTACTTGAGCAATAACTTTTTCAAATAGAATTAGTCTTACTTCAATCGGAAAATTTTTTTATTGAAACCAATCAACATCTCTCCTTGATCAATCACCCGACCTCATAGATCAAGCGATTGTCCAATCACAGATCAATCCCCCCTCCCCCTCCAACCAATCCTATTTTCTCAGATCAGTTTTACTCTTTCAGATAAATCTTTATTTAATTGCTGTTTCCGTCAGGAAATTCCTGCCGCGGCCAGACAAGACTTTTACCATCACACTCCTTGACGATTATTTTTACTCTGACTTTGTTTTATCTTTTGTGTTCATTTTTTGTTAAGTGTATCACAGTATTCCTTGACCATTGTAAATAATGTGCTGCATAGTCTCTAACTGTCTTTACATTTACAGAACACATCATCCGGTAAAGTTATGCATCATGTCAATTCTTTATTTTAACTCAATTTTTTTTCTATTTGAGGTCACTCTCCCTGAAACCTTGACGCTTTCACAAGCGGACGCCTGAGCGGAGCTGAAACATGGAACACGAATCCGCAAAGTGTAATACTGAACCGGAACACGGAACGGTGTGCCTGTATAGTGGAATGAACATGAGCGATGTAACCGTAACTTGTACTGCAGTACCGTATAGTGGAATGAGTGGAATGAACACGGGCGATATAACCGTAACTTGTACTGCAGCACCGTATAGTGGAATGGTGGTATGAACACGAGCGATGTAACCGTAACTTGTACTGCAGCACCGTATAGTGGAATGAGTGGTATGAACACGGGCGATGTAACCGTAACTTGTACTGCAGCACCGTATAGTGGAATGAGTGGTATGAACACGGGCGATGTAACCGTAACATGTACTGCTGAACCGTATAGTGGAATGAATGGTATGAACACGGGCGATGTAACCGTAACATGTACTGCAGTATCGTATAGTGGAATAAGTGGTATGAACACGGGCGATGTAACCGTAACATATACTGCAGCACCGTATAGTGGAATGAACACGGGCGATGTAACCGTAACATATACTGCAGCACCGTATAGTGGAATGAGTGGAATGAACACGGGTGATGTAACCGTAACTTGTACTGCATTACCGTATAGTGGAATGAACACGGGTGATGTAACCGTAACTTGTACTGCAGTACCGTATAGTGGAATGAGTGGAATGAACACGGGTGATGTAACCGTAACATGTACTGCATTACCGTATAGTGGAATGAGTGGTATGAACACGGGAGATTCAACCGTAACGTTGAATGTAGCATGCTTCATACAAGCATTACCATAAAAATTCTAATGATGAAGTCTAGATAACAATAACAGTGCGTACGGAAATCATGTTGAATTAATAACGATTTGTGTACATCGATGTTCATTGCTTCGATTAGATATTGGCTTGTGGATAGCAAGTCCAGCACATATGTTTCCTTCCAAATACCAATGCTACCAACAGGGTCATAATACTTGGCATTATAACTATTAACAGTTCGAGACACGAGCAAAAAAACCGGCAAAAAGTGTCATGAAAAGCAATTTTCTTCATGTCTAAATTCCACATAGTCACCCATGTTGCACCAACATTTCTATTATTGAAGCATCGTTTCTAAAATTTTTACAAAAATGAGATTATACAAGCCTTATCAACAATAATATATGGAGAATTATATATGGACAATAATCAGTATAAGAGATATAATATATGGCAATAATATATGGACAAAATATTATTATATAAAATATATGGACAATAATGAACAAGTTATATTGACCATATACGATATAGTGACACATTGCATGTCTTACCCGAGCAGCACTAGCAGCGAACGAACGTTGCATTGATACTCAATTTTTACAGGCCAGACTGTGTCACGATGACTCATCATAGGGGCAATCCCAGGTGCATCGCTATTAGAACAACGTGCTACTCATTTATCTGAGTGAAGACTTGAAGACTTGGCATACGTGTGTCGTACAGACTACAGACCCAGTCGCGTCAAACACGATAGCAAAAAAAAAAGTTCGATAAATGTCATCGGTGAAGTTTTTCGATGAGAACTTCAACAAAAAAATTTAATAGATATCGAGTTCACAAGCAATGAACGGGTAACGAGGTGTTGCATGGACGAAAAATGTGGAAACTTCCTGCTCTACGCAATGCAAACTTTATTTCTTGTTGTTCTATTATTTCCGGGAAAAAATTTACAACATCCTCCGAAAATAATCTTGTCTTCTTTTCCAATCTTCTACGAGAGAGAAAAGGATAAACTTTTTAAACGCGTGCACTATTACTAATAACACTTCCCATTGAATAATTTGAAGGCGAACTATAATATATTTTGCATGTACATGCATGGATAAACAGGTTATCCCATTTCCTATTATCATGGTTGTGGATATGCAGGAAGATTGCATTCTTATGTACTGGATTTTATTAGTTAATTTCATTCTAAAATTCCCCCCTCTTACGAATATGATGGAAATTTGGTAAAACATTTACCATCGACCGGTCCCTTCCTCTAATGTTTGCTCATTCGTTTCTGAATTTGGTTTTCGGCCAATGGCCGATGTAATTTGAAATTTTCCCCTAACCCAAGAAATGTATTCACATGACAACAACAAAAATGCTGTAAAAATCCACCTGTATTCACTGAATCAATTTCTGAATTACGTGTCTTGCTGATAATATATTAAATCAAACTCGAAATTTCCGTTTAACCCAAGAAATGCATTCACTTGTCCAATGTAAAAATGCGTTTTGTGTCAGGCTGTTAAAGTCATAGCCAAACCGGAAACGGATGTTGCCGTTGCAATGCACATCTCATAGTTTTGAATTTCGTTCAACGGTTACATATTCAACGCTATATATACAGTTACGCAGCCAACGTTTCTGTTTTAATCCCTTTAAAGAATACAATCAACATTACGGTTACGCTGCAATGTTGCGGTTTTACTCACACGTCAGCAGCGTGAAAATTTCAAGGTTTCGTGGAAAATTTTATCCGTAATTCTAATGAACGGGAGTGAAGTAATAAGGAATGAATGGGACTTGGATGGAAGTGAAGGAAAAAAGGAATGAATGGGACTCGGAATGAAGTGATGTAAAAAGTTTGAATGAGACTTAGGTGAAAATGAAGGAAAAAGGAATGAATGGAACTTGGGAAGCGAAAAAAACGGAATGAACGAGTGGGACTTCGATGAAAGTGAAAGGATATAAATTAATGGAACTTCGATGGAGGTGAAACAAAAGTTTGAATGAGACTTGGGTGGAAGTGAAAGAAAAGGGAAGTACGGGAAATAGATGGAAGTGAACGAAAAATTATAAATTGAAATTAGAAGTGAACAAATGAACGAGTGAGACATGGTAGAAGAGAAGGGTCAATATTGCAACACAGTATTTGAATTGTTAACTTCGTTGTCAGAGCGAACTGTGAATACGAAATTATATAAGACTAGGAAATTTTTTCATTCCAAGGCATGATTGGAATGAAAATTCTCTCCTTAAAGTAGATATTCATTCTTATAGCAACCGTTTTAGTGTTAAATTTTAAAACAAATAAAAGTTGAGCCAGGCGGTTATGTGGTAAAGCTAGCGCTATTTTTTTCGTGTGCTAAATAGTTGATAAGTAATTTAACGGTTTAGATAGAAGTAAATTTATTGAAGACCTAATTGAAATACTGATATTTTAGATGAAATTAAGTACGGGTTATTAAGTAATACCCTTGACAACTTGGTCCGTGACTTTATATGCCATAGCGGTGGCTTATAAGTGGACATTAATTAAGAGTTGTGGCTTCAAGCTCCCAACTTCATTGTCTGCTGTCCGCTAGCGTGTAGACCCACGAAATGGGACATGCTTGCTTTTGCAGGAGTGATGTTGGGCATAGCTATTCAATGGGACAATACCTGCTAAAATGCAGCATGGTGAACACCCTATGAAAATTATCAGTGCCTAATTCCTTTGTTATTTTCTTCCACACAAAAACCTCTTTGTGAGAGCATGAAGAAAAATTCAAAATGAAGTGAAGAGGCTGTTGAGTTGGAGTTTTCAAGAAAAATCAAGTTGTGCTCAGGCTGGGAGGTGTGATTGTTTCACACCCGAAGTCTTAAAATCAAATTTAAAAAATAGCTACTCAAAGAGCGCAATATTTGAAGGGTATTATATACATATAAAAGGATCAAATCAATTGTCACATTATCAAATTCGTAATCACTAACGTAAAACACGGCCCAAATCCATAAAACCGGTATCATTTGATCTGATCAAACAAATATTTGACTTCGGAATTATCGCCTCAATCGTCTGCGATTTTAATGAAATCATAAGAAAAGAAAAGCCAGGGTGCGACAGCGACAACAGCGATTTGGCTAAAGTTGACGAAAGAGGTTTTTGATTGGATGACGAATCTCGATTCAAAATTTCTACGACATCAGTGAAGCAACGAAGAGCTGGAGCCTGTGTCCGTAGCGACCTCCTGATGTCCAGGTTTGGTACTTAATCCAAGTGATGTTCCTTGACCTTATATAATATAGACAGACACCTCATATGCGCCCATAATATAAATTTGCACCAACCACCCCGGTAGAAAGAACATTTCTTCGAGCCCTGAACTGGACATAATTCACCACATTGGCCAGGTCTGCTTCACTTCACTGTAAGTCCGGCGAAGACAGTGTGATTATTTTTCAAGGTGTTGGGTTGAAGATCTAAAGCCGCTTCACGGCCTGATTCATAATAAAGATGTGGGGTCGAATTATTCAACATTTTGGGTAATGGAACAAAAGCTTTGAATTAATTTTCAAATTGATTAAAATGATTGATAAAGGTAAAATTGATTGACAATGGATTCCCAATAGATTAAATGAGTGCTAACCGCTAACTTATTCCTAATTAATGATAAAGTGGCTCAAAGTACATCTGCTGAGAAACTAATATCTCCTAATTTAATGAAAGCAACCTCCACCATTTACTTAATAGATGCCGCATGATGACGTCTGCATGACGTCATCCTCTTCAAACTTCCGTTGGCGCCTAATTGAGCGAAAAAGTGGCGGAATTCAAGCAACAACCTATTTGAATCACTTCGCGCTCTAGGTTGATTGAATATCGATTGAATAAACTTGTTTCGTGTTTATATTTTTCACATTTTCTGCCATAATTTTATTTATTGCTGTGGCGGATGGACCGCAAAGTGGGAGTACAACAGATTTAACCCAGGTTTATCAATGGGAAAATTGGCATGAATAATTTAAATTATTCATATGGTGACGAAAGACAAAGATGGACACCTATAAGAGTAGAACTGGATTGAAATGAACCCGTAGACAGGTAGGACAAAGCAACATTAATTGCTATATAAACGTTACGGGATGATCTCGTATATAGGTTACGGTCGGGACCACGTCATGGTTCCCGACAATAGCTAGCCTCCGACATGCACCTATTACATAGTCATTTACCCTTAACACGACTGTAGAGCGTCGTGTTAATGGTAAACTGTAAACGACTGTATCAGGAGCTTGTCGAGATCTCTTGTTTAACCATGCCTGTTCATAATTAACTTTGCAACCAACATCTCAACAACTTACATCTTGTCAATGCCAAGGCATTGTAAACGCCACTTTGGCTCGGAATAAAACACGTGCAGCATTTGTAGCTGGTGTAATTTACTGCATGAATCAACCCGCGAACCTGCCTACGTAGCAGGAAAACCAAATGCAATAACGAAAATAGACTACTTTAACAAAGTTTTGACATATGGCAAGTATAGAGTTATATCAAAACGTTCAGTAATATATACTGAACAATAGGTACAGCATTCGAAACGTTTAGGATTATACTGTCCAATAGTTAGCACACGAATCTAAATGACAGGAATTTATCCTTATTTACGCTTGTTTTCAAGGGGTCTCCAACGAAACAAGACCTAGAGACTAAGGACACGATGATAGATCGTCTGCCTTAGTGATAAATGATATACAGACAAGCACGAAAGGCATAGCCGCCGCTAAACCGCTGAGTTTATGGTTGTCGGCACACTTAAAATCCAGGGCCTATACTTTCAAAAAATTCAAGAGATCGTAAGTTCATCAGCCAATCATTGACGGCCTTTCAAGCAAAATCCACCAATCATAGACAAGAAAATAGAGCGTAAGTACTTACGTTCTCTTAGCGAATTTTGAAAGTATGGCACCAGGTAACTTTTTCAGTGGATTCATTCAGCAAGGGCGAGTGCATATGCATTCCTCACGCGCATTAATATATAACCAAATAATCTGGGCCTGAAAATTCACTCACTGCGTGGACGATAAATGTTTTACAAGTGAGTTTCCACGATATGCGTGTGAAAGTTTTGGGGTAATGGAAGTGGAATAACCTTTATAAAGTCATCTCAAGGAAATAGAATTACCCTGTATATATTTATGTACACGAGGATGTAGTCATCTTGTATATCGACGCACACTAGAATGTAATCCTACATATCCACGTATATGGAAATGTAATCACCCTGTATATCCACGTGTATGGAAGTATAATCCTCCTGTATATCGACGCACCTATGGGAATGTAATCCTCCTGTATATCCACGTGTATGGAAGTGTAATCCTCCTGTATGTCGATGTACATACATGGGAATTTAATCACCCGGCCTGTGTATCCGCGGACATGCGAATTATATTTGAGTTCACCCAGAATAGATTGAACGGGAAAGTGCTGCTGTATATGACGAACGTTTATGATAGTTTATCCTTTAAAATTTCTCAATTGACGGAAACATTGCAAAAGACAAGAATATTTTTCAAGGATGTTGTTTATTTTCTCGAAAATTCTAGAGCAGGAAGTTCCCACTCTGCGTATCCGAGCAACACTTCGTCATCTATTGAATAAATAGTAGATATTTGTATCGTTTTGTTGAAGTTTTCTTCTATGCACTTTGATTAGACATTTTTAGCGCATTTTCTCATTTATGGAAAAAATGCACTATTGTGCTCGCCATGTCCGTCTGTCCGTCCGTCTGTCTGTCTGTCCGTCCGTCCGTGACTTCACGTTTTCGTCGACGAGAAAATGCGCTCTCTGTCACTCACTGCAGTGAGTACTGAGTTATATATATTTTTATAGTTTTCCATGGTAGTGCCTGACTTGATGCCCTGTTGGCATCATTGGTACTTTGAAGAAACAAAATAAAACACGAGAATGCAAAATTTTTTTATTCTGGTCGGACGGTTTCGTACTTACATGCTTTGCCCAGAATCCGTTGTATTGATAGTAAATAATAAATTTGATGAAGCAGTTCATTACTCACGGCTACAAAGTGACAACTTTTTATTTATTTTGATTTATTCAATTTTATTTCGATTTAACATTGTCGCGGGTCGTTACACAGGCGTCCGTTACAACATAGATAATTCATAATAATTTGTTGAGGCATGCTAAGCACCTTTCAATTCATCTGATTCAATGCCCGTCGCTGTGTATATTCATTCACTTTATTCATGAATAATTATGCTGATCCACTCATCTGAATGAGCCTGCTATTGACAAGCCACTCTCTCATCGAAACAAACCTTGTGTGAATTCACAATTAGTTATTAATTCTGTGAATTCACAATTAGTTATTAATTCTAATAATTTAAAATTAGTATTATTTCTCTCCAAACACTGTTCGTTATCATCTCGAATACATCATTAAAATTATTATGGTGCAAACGACGACAGATTAGTAAATATCTGCTTCGTCAACATAAAATTCGTTCGATCGCGGACATAGACATGGGACTCGTCTTCGGATTTCAGAATCCCCGCTAAATTCGTAAGTTAGCTTTGCTTGAAATTCTCTTGGATGAAATATTTTACTTGCCAAATAGCATAACCCTCCTGCGTGTAAGTTATTAATTAAACAAAATTATTGGCGAAACTAAGGTACAATAAAAGTATTCGCACATTTTTCGAACACATAAAATTATTAATTCAATTTGCATGCACGCAAATAAAAAAATATTCCAGGAAGAAAATTGTAAGCAGTTTCAAAATGAATGAATTGTCGGCCACACGCCGTCAGTTTAATGTTTTTTTTCCAGTCAGTTTAATGGTATCCCTTCTTGATTACTGGGAATTTGGCGACACCCTCGTAGGTAACGACCGGGTGGTAACCGTACTCGTCGGCCGTGTAGGAGACTTTCTGGAGACGGCCGTCGGGGAGGTGGACGTAGTACGCCCCCGTGGTCTTGTAGCCGTCCCGCTGCTCCTTGTGGCCAAAGTTGGCGCCGTAGTACGGATCCTGCACGCCGTACTCGAAGCCGTAGTGCGCAGGCGCCTGTCAATGAAAACCCAGTGATTTATGAATGACTAGTAATGCCGTAGTACGGATCCTGCACGCCGTACTCGAAGCCGTAGTGCGCAGGTGCCTGTCAATGAAAACCCAGTGATTTATGAATGACTAGTTATTGGCGACTCATGACCGTAGTAAGACAATATTTTTGTATATAAAAACATTTTTTACGACGTGATTGATATTTTTGCTGTAAGGCAATATTTTTGCACGAAAAAACTTTTCCTTATGACGCATCATCGATGAGGGGAAGAATGCAGACAATGTTGAATGATCCCTTTCTGTTTGCAGACCAGGATTTCACCAGTGATTGTCGGCTGTAGATATTTCGGTGCCCCATATATATATATATATTAAAGCAGATTTTTAGAGATTTGTGTAACTAGAATAATTCTGTTGTTACCCTGAAGTGAAGTCCACTCACGTATAATCCTTTGCCATGTCCATATCCACCGCCATGTCCACCATGAATGCCGTTGATGGCGTGTCCACCGACGTGGCCGATGGCTCCGACGCCACCGTATCCACCAAGGTGTCCACCGCCATGGAGTCCACCATGTCCATATTCGGCCACCACGGCCGTGGCAACCACTAGAACTAAGGCAATCTGAAAATTCGAAATAACTTATAAGAACATGAGCAGGAAAAATGGTAAGGCAGAACTAATTTTTAGAGAGTAACAGAAAATAAATTCAATCAGATAGAAGATTGGGTTTAATTCTAATCTCAATGAAAGCCGAAGAGCAGTGATAATATTGGTTGAATCTATTTTTTTAGCACTGATATTGTCACCGAACATCGCGCTACTCCTTTCACTAATTTCCAATTTATACACACACCATCCCGCTTTGATGATTTTGAGTAGATGAATAATCACTTAAGCTATGTTAGGATGCCATTTTTAGCCACTGATATAAGCAACCGAGGAACTCACACAGGAGCGAATCATGTTGGTGCAGGAGCGTGCGCGTGCGGAGTGCTCGAGATGCGTCAAGCGACTGATGCTGAGGTCATCCGGACGCCGCCTTATATAGTGCAGGTCGCCCTCGCGTACGGTTGCCTGATGGCCGGTGCTGTGACCACACCCTTCTTCTCCCAGCCTCTGGTCTCATAAACTGGGCGGAAGGCCTCAGTAGCATGTAGCAATTTTTAATAAGGAATTATGACGGAAATAAAGAACGGACATTGTGAATTTCCTCATTTTGTAACAATTTTTGAGATTTAACCTGAAACTTGTCACAGAGTAGACATATTTGGAAACGATGCTGTTTTTAATTAGTGTTTAATTATTAACTGTTGCTAACTTAATTCAATTGTAAATTAATGCAATTATTCATGTATCATAATCATCTATAGTATCTTGCATGTAATTATTGTACTCCAAACCAAATGATTTGAGAAACTTGGCTCCACGGTAGCCGCAATTCAGACTCAAGTAGCTTTAAAAAATCGTTTAACCTTGTATGGCAGGTGGCCAAGGTCAAGATACAATTGAGCTAAACGATCGGCAGGCTAACCACTTGCTCGATCACTGTCTCCTAGTAGATCGATCTCAGATCGAGTATGGTCAATAAACTTCATTGTGAGATCATTTTTTTGCTAGATCAAGAGATTTTTATTGATAATTGATTGTCATCTTCCCTCAACAATGAACCCCTGCTTCTTCATTACATGCCATTTTTTTGTTCATTTTTACATAAAAAAATTTATTCTTCATTACAAGCCCATTTTTTTGTTCATTATTTCCCCACCCTCTGCTGCGTAGGCTTCCTGTAGAGCTGCCTCATTGCGGCCTCACAAGCTGCCTCAATGCGGCCTCACCAGCTGCCTCATTGCGGCCTCACCAGCTGCCTTAATTCAGCCTCACTATCTGCCTCATTGCGCCTCACCAGCTGCCTCATTGCGGCCTCACCAGCTGCCTTAATTCAGCCTCACTATCTGCCTCATTGCGCCTCACCAGCTGCCTCATTGTGGCCTCACCAGCTGCCTTAATTCAGCCTAACTATCTGCCTCATTGCGCCTCACCAGCTGCCTCATTGAGGCCTCACCAGCTGCCTTAATTCAGCCTCACTATCTGCCTCATTGCGCCTCACCAGCTGCCTTAATTCAGCCTCACTATCTGCCTCATAGCGGCCTCACCAGCTGCCTCACTGTGAACGCAAATACCTCAGCCGGCGTTCGTTTTCAAGGTCACCGTATATTTTTTCACAGTACTTCCAAGGTAAAAACTCGTTCATATATAAATATTTTTTTAAGGCGTGTTAATAATTTCGTGTTGATTTTTATTCGATGCTTGAGTGTAACTTTATTTCGCTTTGCCCAAACTTTTCTTAAAAATATTACAAGAAATCGAACGTATGTATTCGGTACCTTCGCTTCACTGGCAACCAAACGCTCTTTCTTCTCTTTCCTTCGCGGTAACTTTCCCTGAGACCTTGAAACTTTCACGTGCGCACGCAGCAGCGTAACCGGAACACGTCCAGCGTAACCGCTAACTTGGTGGAGCAACCGTCACGTGGACGACGTTATCGTCACGTGGACGGCGTTATCGTCACGTGAACGACGTTATCGTCACGTGGACGACGTTATCGTCACGTGGACGACGTTATCGCCACGTGGACGACGTTATCGTCACGTGGACGACGTTATCGTCACATGGACTGCGTTATCGTCAAGTGGACGACGTTATCGTCAAGTGGACAGCATAAAAATAACATGGAAAGAGTTATGGTTTCGGCAGACCATTATTTTATTTTATTTTTAGTGAACTTAGGTGCAGAAATTCTTCATTTGTGCTGACAGGCCAAAGTTGAAGAGTCTCTACAAGGCTCCTATATAGTCTAGGCAATTGAGAATACAGCTGTATTATTCAAAATAACTGTACTGGATCCTAAGTTCGAATGTGAAATCATCAAAATTGCGACAAATAAAAATAAGAGAAGGGTGAGACAGCATAGGATACCCCCGCAACGCAACATAGCTGCGACCAGATATCAGTCTCTGCGGGAAAGATCCCTTTCCATGGTACAACCCGGGTTGTTTAATGTATTTTTAGAGGAGCTAAAAGGAATGGAGTTCACCCTTGAAATCGGTAAAAAGCAAGCAACAGCATCGTGCATTAGCTGAGGGCATCAGCTGGCCCAACTGAGGGCAACAGCTGGTCCAACTGAGGGCATCAGCTGGCCCAACTGAGTGCATCAGCTGGCCCAACTGAGTGCATCAGCTGGCCCAACTGAGGGCATCAGCTGGCCCAACTGAGGGCATCAGCTGGTCCAACTGAGGGCATCAGCTGACCCAACTGAGGGCATCAGCTGACCCAACTGAGGGCATCAGCTGGCCCAACTGAGGGCATCAGCTGGTCCAACTGAGGGCATCAGCTGGCCCAACTGAGAGCATCAGCTGGTCTAACTGAGGGCATACTGAGGCGGGGCCCAATCATTGTCTGAGACTGCTACGTCCGAATCACTTACTAATATAATATAGTACATATAATATAGTAAAGCATAACGGGAGATGGCATAAACAGAATACGTATGTAATATAGCGGTGTCAGCATTTATTAGGCCGTAGGCCTGTCGCCGATTCTTAACATCGCTGAACATTCACAGCATTTCGCGGTCTCGAGCTCGCAACTCACTGCTACAATTCTGCTGTGCTTAACCGTCCGGCCACCTTGCCGATTCTGACCAGAAACTGGCGCACAGAGCTGGGATCGAACCCGCGCCTCTCTGCTCCAATCTTGGTACTCTGAACTTTAACCACTGGGCCACCCTGCCCAGTGATTACAGTTCAGAGTCATCCAATGATGCTGAGCATTGCAATGCAAAAGTCTAAGCGAAGTGACTGCACTGAACATACTTAATAATGTTAAAGGTTTAGAATATGACAATGACTGTACGTCCTGATTGTGTGTGCAAGTGTTGTCATTTAATACTAAACTTTTATTAGCAGAATTTTTCATACATTTTTTAACGGAGGACATCCATTGAAGAATATTTTTATCTTTAAACAGTTTCATTTCTTCACGGAAGGGATGGGAAAGAAAATAAGAATGCACGTATTTTTTCTCAAAGAAAAGTACTTGTCATTTCCTCACGAGGAAGAAATGGTCTCGCGTACGCCGACCGTCAACTTAATTTTTATTTAAATATTTTTCCTCTAAGAATTTTATTTCATTAAACTTTATACGTACTTTTACAGTGTTTTTTTCTGGATAAAGTTTCTTTAAGTTCCTTTTCCGGCATCAGCGCTTGATAGGTAGGTTGATGTTAATTCGCCTAGCATTAAAAGTAACTGAAAACAAGGTATATATTTTGATTAACAGTCGCTAACGGGCGCTATTAATTTTATGAGTAATTTTGTGCCATTGAAAATTATATTGAAACATTGGCTAAATGTTCAAAGACTATGCATTACTTTATTTCGATGAAGCTTTTGGATTGGTCTTAAAGAAGACTTTTCTTGTTAAAACAAACAAATCAACCAATAGATTTTGTATTAAACAAACACGAGTAAAAAACAAACCATAGTCTCCACGGCCTGCTAGGCTCGATGCGTGTCAAGTATGGCAATAATTTTTAATTGCTTTGTTAAAGGCTTCAAGGTCAGAGTCATGCTACTTACATTAATTAACTAATTATTAAGTCGTTAATGAATTACCAGCTCACGCTTTTACGGTTAGACGCCATAAGCGCAAGGCAAGGTGGTGCACTCAGGAAGATGAATTGGTCATTTTGTTCAAAAAGTAACACACATTTCTGTACTCAGCATTTGTGCAGACTTGTGCCCGCCTGTATGACACACGTATCGCCTGTATGACACACGTATTGCCTGTATGGCACACGTATTGCCTGTATGACACACGTATCGCCTGTATGGCACACGTATCGCCTGTATGACACACGTATCGCCTGTATGACACACGTATCGCCTGTATGACACACTTGTTGCCTGTATGACACACGTATTGCCTGTATGGCACACGTATTGCCTGTATGGGACACGTATTGCCTGTATGGCACACGTATTGCCTGTATGACACACGTATCGTCTGTATGGCACACGTATCGCCTGTATGTCACACGTATCGCCTGTATGGCACACGTATTGCCTGTATGACATACGTATTGCCTGTATGGCGCACGTATCGCCTGTATGACACACGTATCGCCTGTATGACACACGTATCGCCTGTATGACACACGTATCGCCTGTATGACACACGTATCGTCTGTATGGCACACGTATCGCCTGTATGACACACGTATCGCCTGTATGGCACACGTATTGCCTGTATGACACACGTATCGCCTGTATGGGACACGTATCGCCTGTATGGCACACGTATCGCCTGTATGGGACACACGTATTGCCTGCATGACACACTTATCGTCTGTATGGCACACGTATCGCCTGTATGACACACGTATCGCCTGTATGACACACGTATCGCCTGTATGGCACACGTATCGCCTGTATGGCACACGTTTCGCCTGTATGGCACACGTATTGCCTGTATGACACACGTATTGCCTGTATGGCACACGTATTGCCTGTATGGCACACGTATCGCCTGTATGACACACGTATCGCCTGTATGGCACACATTTTTATTGTTCCCACGAAGACAAGTTTCCTAGGACCATTTTAGTATAGTATATTTGTTTTTACAAATTTTCATTAAGAACAGCCTGATGAATTATTTTTTGGAAGAACGTTTGGTAACAACAGTACAATAAGATATCATTGTTTCCTAAAGTTTAATAAGTTGTGGTCATGAGTAAAGTTTGCTAAGAAAAATTCGATAAGACACCTTTGAGGTGTCAAGATTAATTATTCAAATACGATATGAACAGATCGAAATGTTGTCGTTGAGAATTTTTTAATATAATATTTAATTAATTTTGATAAGTTATGTCGCAAATTCATCCATACTCACGCGCGACCACACCCATGCTCACTCATGCAACACATGACGCGTGAGTGAACCG